AGCGGGAGCAAGACGGCGAGATCGATGAGGCAGCCGGTGAGCGACAGACTCTCGAGCGCGGGGAGCTCCCACCATGGATGGGCGAAGCGGAGGTGCTGCCCGCGCAGCTCGATCGAGGCGGCGCGCTGGAAGCAGTGGGACAGGTCCACGTCCACCACGAACGGCTCCTCCAGGCACTGCGAGGTGGCGAAGCAGAGCGCTGCAGGAGACAGCCTCGCGGCGGCGCGGAGCAGAGAGGAGACGTGGTCCGCGGGGACGGCGACCCTGTGCTGTAAGGGGACGCGGATGTCGAGCAGGGAGAGGGAGGGTTCGAGCGACGAGAGCGCCGCTAGGAGCGGGCCGGGGGCGACGTCGCGAAAGGTGAGGTCCGGGAGGCGGCTCCAGAGGCCGCGCCAACGGCGGGAGAGGAGGCCGGTGCGCGCGGCGGCACGGGCGCAGCGGAGGCGGACGAGCACCTGGAGAAGCAGGTCCGTCGGGAGGGCGCTGATGAGGTCGGCTCCTCCACCGCCGCTCGGACCACGTAGCTCCGGACGTCTGCCATGACGGCGTTCTACGACCCCATCCATGGATCGACCGACGACCCAGCAGTGCAGTGCAGCTCCAGTCCGTCCTACTTAATTATGACCTAATTTGCCAGCTCCGGCTGCCGGCAACGACGATGCCGAGCGGTGGTGCTGGCTGGTGACAGCATTGTCGAAGCGCATAGGGTTGGTGCCTCGTGGATTAAGTTTGAGGCCGGAGAATAAACCCACGACGGAGGAGCCGAGGTAGAAACCATAGGATTGGTTCCTTGTTGGACTAGTAAACAAACTACAGTGGCGTTGCCTTGTCCTTGTACTAGGTTCACTTCATGGCGGAGACCTCCATGGCGGGCATTACACTTTCTGATTAAAAAATGCTTATTGGAGGAGTTAAGTTTTATTTTTTTTTCTAGGGGAAAAAAAGGATTGAAGCCGGTCCGACTTTGAATTAACAAAAAACTTAGCATGGAGCTAACTTATAGCTACTGTAGTGTTCTTAGTTATGCACTTCGACATCAAACAATTTCTAACAATATGTTGAGCATTTTGTTTGCTTTGCTTACTTGGCCCACTCCAAGGTCATCTCTAGTTTGTTGTCGGGCCATTTGATGGCTAGGACGACTCCTCGGCCGCTTTCTTCGATGAATACAACAACCGGCGACGATCCTCGCAGTTGATGGATTAGGAACAGGGCGGGATGCAGTTTTACTTTAGAAAGTCATGTTTATAGTATTTCACCATGCCTTGTGCCTTCAAAGCCAGAAAACAATTCAAAGCAACGGCTTAAATGAATTTTTGAATGATGTTTACAGCATTGTATTAGTAGCAATGCTCTACAAATACTGTTAACGAAATGAAAGCACGCGGAGGCGGAGCAACACATCAGTATGGCTTGTACAAAAAGGTTCCCATCATTCCACTTTGAAGATGGACCGGGCTGGCAACGTTGCCTCAATTTTACTGTGAGCAATTAAATTTTGATCTCATTGCTAGGCACACAAAGAAGCTTGGGCGGCTCATAGGCACATTTGTGAAGTTTTTCGTGCTTTTCCACCAACCACTTCAATTCTCCATCATCTGGCTCCAAAATTGCTGACTTTGTTGTCATGCAGTTGAAAAAAATGTGTCTCTTTTGTATTGCTACAAATCTAAGACTAGTCATAGTGGGGGGTATCATATACTAGTATCATGCATATGATACTAGTGTATGATACTACCTTCATAGTGCATAGTATCATAAAGTAGTATCATAGGTGGTCATATTTATTGCCATGCATGACATAAAATAGCATAGCATTTAACATGATACGGTATCTACCTATGTTACTCTAACCCCCTCTCTTCTTTAATTGTGTGCCACATCAGCATGTTTTTGCTAGTCCCAAGTGCATGTTATCGGTTATGTTACCCCCACTATGGCCAGCCTAAAAGTATGTGATCGACTGCATGAATGAGTAGGAGCTCACTTAATGCAGATGCATCTTTTGCTATGTACCAAACGTCGAGAGATATTATGTCATCTGGATGTCTTTTTTGAGTGTTTCATTTCTTTCCTTTTTTACAAACGGAGGTTTTCCGTGCCTCATTTTATTAGAACGACAGGGGCGGACCCA